ATGCAGCTGCTTCAAATCCACTGAAGGCCCTTTCGTAATTTTACATATATTAATTCACAGTAGCAAAATTGAAATATAAGTCTAGGTTTCACTTCATGCTTTCATCTTTCTCTTGTTACATCATGAAAGGAAGAATATCATATAAAAGTTGACTTTTTCAAGTCAAATTTACAAAGTAGATTTCCAACATACAATATTTTGGTATGCTTCTAAAGACTGATGTAATTTTTTGTGATCCCATGCCCCCGTGACAAAGAAACATGCAAACAAGCATTCCCCACGTTGCTTGTTGGAATAACAGAAAGGGTAAAATAGAAAATACACATAAATTCTTATGTCTTGATGATAAATTATGCAATAACCTTACACCATGAATTCCCATCCTTGACATCTAAAGCAATAGCTTCCTTTGCGTGTTTTATGCTTTCAGCAATAATTTCCTCTTGATTATCAGCACCTAAATATTTAAAAAAAAAAAATTAGATTCAAAAAACTATATATATATATATATATATATATATATATATATATATATATATATATATATATATATATATATATATATAAAATAAACAACAACCACATTCAAAAAACAAGAAATGTTTATTGCCTTTAGTCATTCGTCTTTGAAGCATTGATAATTGGCTAAGTATCCTTTTGTTTGGTGTAACAACCCGAAGTTTTCCATCGTCGAAAAACCCGTTCTACCCATAAAAATTTGTCGTTAATCAATTCGTTCCGTTTTCGTTTTGGGTTAAATTATTTAAATGTATATGTTTATTATAATCCAATGAGTTTCCAAACCCTTTAGGAACTCATGAAATTAGCCCAAAAATGTTTATTTCAAAAAGTTAGAAACGTCCCCGTCGGGTTACGGAAACTTAATCGGGTGCGACCTAAAGCCCCGTTTAATGCCGGTATCCGGTAGAATTCCATCATGTCCAAGTTTTAGGACCTATATAAACATGTTTAAACATTCATCTGAAGCTTTTGCTTCCTCTCTCTACTCTCTCTCTAACCTCTCTTCTAAATCCAACTTTAAGGGTCCAAATCATCAATTTAAGGCTCCAAATCTTTGAGGTACCTTCCCTAACTTGTTATGCAACCTCTCTAGCCTTTAAATTCGAGTTTAAACCATGGATTAGGACCATTATCATGAGTTTACGGCCCGAGAACAGTCCTAGGCCATAAACTCATCTAAATGGGGTTTTTGGAGCAACAAAACCCTTCCAAACCACAATTGGACCTTAGATGTGGCTAGATGACTTTATGGAATGTACCTAGAATGCCTCAAACCATAATTTAGAGCCTTGTTCATGTGTTTATGGCCCTAGAACATTGCTAGGCCGTAAACACATATAAATGGGGTTTTTATGCCCTTAAACACTTCCAAAACACCAACAAGGCTTAGATACGACTTGTAGAATTATGGATTTGGCCTTGGAACACCTTGAACATAATTTTTGAGGAGTAAAAGGGACTTTACGGCCAAGGCACATGCTTGGGCCATAAACTCATTGTTCATGGAGAGTAAACTCCTCTAAAAGTGTTAAAATGCCACTTTAACACACCTAAAGCCTTGGGATAAATTCTAGAAGTGTTTACAAACAAGTATTGGACTTTAAAACACATTAATTTCCCCATCTAAGGAGTTCACAGCCATGAGGGGTTCATGGGCTGTAAACTCCTAAATCTATGCCAAAAGCCCCCTATGTATGGGGGAGTTTACGGCCGTAAAATCCATGTTTACAGCCGTAAACTCCAATAAATGGTCCCTATGTGTGTTATAATCCATTCCAAAGTCAAAAACCCAAGTCTAGCAATTATCCCTAAGTGTTTGAAGCCATTTTGCACCATAAACCACCCCACCATGATTTTACGGTCGTAAACTCATGGGGAATGGGTGTTATGGCCCGAAAACTCTTGTATGAGTTTACGCTTAGGGAGTAAACTCAAATTCCAAGTCCCTAGTGCCATTACACGTCCATAGATGTCACCCGAGTCCTTCCAAACACTTGCAATGGGGTGTTTCTGCGACTAAAAGTGTTTGTCCCTAACAATTAAGTAATCTAAGTCCTAATTAGATACAAATGTGTATCTTTTCATTATACATAGGAATCTCGTACGTTTGCATGCCCCGATCCAACGTTTAGCATCCGAAATCGTCACATTTCTCGTCCGGTGAGTTCATACCCCTACCCTTTTCAATGGTTTTTCAATGTTTTCAGGGGGGAATACAAGCAAACTATAAATGTTTTCAATACATAACATTGATGTATTTCAAATAATATCTGGCAAACTTATAAATACCATTACCCCTTATGTATTATGTTGAGCATAAGGAATGATTTATCAAGTACAACTATATGAATTCCAGCTAAGGAAATACCCAAACTAATCAAATTATTATGGGAATAATTTGGGGTTCTTGAGTTCTTGTTTCATCACGTACTGATATGTATACAAAGTTATTAGATAAACTATGTCCAGTTCAGTTTATCTCCGTTTCATTTTGAATGAATTGCTAGATGATTTCATTGTATATAGTTGTATTCATTGTATTATGTTTCATAATCTTTTGTATGTTTGATATCATATGAGAACCCCGTGAATAGTTTAGTACTACCTTGTGAGTTCGTCACTACCCTTTATGGATGATCAGTAAAATCCTCCGCGGAAGTGTAACCAGAGTCTCCTGGAGGGAGAGCGAGGAATTTGTGAATAGATCTGTTCGGGACTGACAATCCCACACCTTAACTGCTAGCTACAGTTAGGCGGGCATGCTTGGGGTGACAAATTTTTGGATATCGTTCGACACCTGACAAACGTAAAGGAGGTTTCATTGTCGTATCAGCATGGTTACCCGACTCACAATACGTATTAATATAAGTTTATTCACAGTATCGCTTTGGGTTCGGTTTGACTATGTTTCGATTTCATATCTACCTTCTATCTATAGTTTCCATATCTAGTACGGGATAATGGTCCCATGGTTTTCAGTCTAGTGGTCTTATATCTAATGCGGGATGGTAGTCCCATGGTCTTTAACTTATATCTAGTACGGGATAAAAATCCCATGATTTCAACCTATATCTTGTACGGGATGGTAGTCCAATGGTTTTGAAGCTATATCTAATACGAGATGATAATATCATGGTTTTGAACCTATATCTAATTCGGGATGGTAGTCCCATGGTTTCCAATCTATGTTTCCATGAATATCAAACTATATTATATCTAGTACGGGATGGTAGTCCCATGGGTTTCAATCCATGTTTTCATGTATATTAAACTGTTTTGTACTTAGTATGGGATGTGAGTCCCATGGTTTTTAAACTACATTCCATCTATAGATCGCATATTTCAAACTAATTCATATCTAGTTTGAGACAGTAATCCCATGATTCTCATTATATAGTTTTATGCATTAAGCTATACTCCGTAATATACAACCGGTCTTACATTCAGGAAAGTATGGGACTTTCCTGGGGAAAACATTGAACATAATTATATTTTACAGATACATCTTTTACAGTAATAACCAACATTTAGGAAAGTATGGGACTTTCCTGGGGAAACGTTTACATAACTAGAACAGGGTAACAAACAGAATAACTTTACATCTTTCACAATTGGTAACAAACAATCAGGAAAGTATAGGACTTTCCTGGGAACTTCGTTGGTACATAACCAGAACAGTATGTCAAACCAGATAACCTAATTGTACATTTACACAAGAGAAAACATATTTTTAGTGTACAACTTTACTTTACATCTTGACAAACGATAACAAACCTTTTTAAGAAAATATGGGATTTTCTTGGATAACAAACATTTTTGGAAAACTAAAGGAAACTGGTACATTTTCAGAAAACAAACATCTTATGAACTCACCAGCTTTATGCTGATTTTCAAACCGCTTGTATTCTCAGGTCAGTGATAGACAGGTACCCAACAAACCTTTTGGAGAAGACGGAGCGTACTGAAGATCTCGTCTTTACTTTTGTTAATATGATGCATATGTATATCAATGTACAACTTTACTTTTGAAACAAATGTAAATTTCTATATGTAATGTAATGGTTGTTTACTTTACTTACTATGTGCATTGGATTTGATACTCAACGTGGAGTCCGCCCCGGAAATGTTTCCGCCTTCGGTTTTCGGGGTGTGATATTTGGACCCTGTATTACCATTAAAATGAAAAATGTTGGATGTTTATTAACTGAATACTAGTAAAAATTTATAAAAATATATATACAAGTGAAGTGATAATCAACCTTGCTTAGAGCAAGGGTAAAACAATTTCTTGTGGAAGGTAAATCTCCTTTTTTCCAAATGCAACTTCCTAAACACAGCCAAGCATCTCTAAGAGATGGATTCCGTTTAACCTATAAAGTCAAATAGTTGATAAAATCAGAGATTTTATTGAACTTATGTCTTTTTATATGATTAAAAGATATGATCAGTTGACTTACAACTTTAGAGAGATGATCTTCTATTGTTTTTTAGTATTTAGGGAGCACATCCAATATTTTCCCTCTCAAGTATTCATACGTTTCACGTTGTGTAGGCAATTTCCTTTGTTCTGCACATCACAATCATAATATAACCTCAAATAGTTTCATCATCAATCCCCATAAGCACCATTAAAGTTACATCATATGATTCTATTCATACAGATTAATCTAATCTGGCATTCTAATGCGCTTTTTCTACCACTCTAATCGATAGTTAACACTTAACCTGGCTTGTATTCGATTAACCCTCTACTACGAGAAATCATATCATGCCATTCAAATAAAATAAGCGACCATACACTAAAAGCACACACATATAGAGAGATGATTACAATCATGAAAGCTGAAAATCGTTGGGTTTCAAGGGAAGCATACCAGGAGGAACAAAATCGAGGAGATTGATAGTGATTTGAGATTGATTTTTCAATTTGGAAATTGTTTCATTAGGGTCTGAAGGGAAGTAAGTGTCTTGTATCGTGTTCAGTCACTTGCTGCTTCTATTGCTTTCTCCATTAAATATGATCCATCTTTTCCTTCTTTGCTGAATCGATTTTCCCCGCTCATCATACCAGTCATCTGTTTACTGAATTACACCGACGAATTTAAATCAGAAGGCCCATCCAAAGCCCTCTATCAAATCAATCTGAATTTTGATAGAAAGAGACTTACTAAAAGAGCGAGGAAGAAAACGAGATTGAAGGAGAACTTGTGGAGTTCTTTAAAACACACATATCAAAGCACTATGAATCCAAAACCTAACAGTGATAGAGTAGTCCTCGTGATGTTCTTGAAAAAAAAAATTGGGGTTTCAAACCTTCTATCTGCTTTCAAATAATTGGGGTTCTCAGTCAGATACACGTGTAGACATGAAGGTTTCAACAACCCTATCGATGTTCCCGATACCATAACTCTCGAATTTAAAAACCTTTTATCTACTTTATACTAGCTCGTATGATTGGAAGAATGTTGGTGGATGAAGCGTTCGTCGATAGGGCCAGTGCGTCGTTGATGTGTGAGGCCAAAAGAGACAGTGAGTGTTGGAGGCGGTGGTGGTGGGTTAGGGTAGAGATGAAGGATGTGAGATATGAGAGAATGATAGTCCTCATGACGTTCTTGAAAAAAACCCTAGTTTTAGTCCCCATTTTGTAACAGGAACGTGCGTTTAAAAAATATAAAGCGACATGGTGCACAGGAAACGCGTTTATGATGGGTGTCTTCCGTGTTTTTTTTTCTGACACAAATTTTAAGGCATGCTAAAATGCGCGTCCTAGATCCTTCGAAATTTTGAAGAGGTGACATTATTTTTACGTCACATACTTTTGTGTATCGTAAATACATGCGTGTCATTAAAGGCTTTTTTCTAGTAGTGGTTCTTAGTGAATGGGGTCACAGCTCGAGCTACTTTTTTCTTAGAATTCTCATTGAATCTGGAATAATGTTTTGATCTAATTTCATTTTTAAGGGCATTTTTGGCTTCTATCTTTGGATCGACCACATCTTTTCTATTTAATGAAGGTTTCTTCATGGAGTCAAATGATAACTTGGAAGTTTGGCTTGCAGATGGATTGTTAAACTTAGGATTGATTGGCACTAAGGTGGTTTTTGAAATCACTTGAGAATCAGAAACACAAGAATCAGACGAGTATTCTACTACAATTTCTCCTTCAACGTCACTATAAAAAGATACCCAAACAAAATCCGGTTTATCTAAGTTAGGTCTAGTTGTCTCCGTAATTATTTCCTCAATGACACAATTGTTAGGAGGACTGTGGTTTAGAACTTGAACTATAGTATGGGTGATGTTAGGGAAGGATTCCAAGGTCTGATTCAGGTCCAGGGGTACCAGAGGCGGAAGAGGCGTGGAATCAGGACACTTAACAACTATTGGTTGAAACTCAGGAATTTGGGATGAAAATCGATCCAAGGTGTCAGGAAGGGGTGACAACGGTGAGACAGGGGTATCTGTATATGTGTGGTTCGGAATGTCTCCCATAAAAGTTAAATATCATAACTCCTTCAAGGGATGAGCAACTTGTTTCATAAACTCGCTTCCGAGACTAAGTGATTAGGAACAAGGATGACAAAAATTATGAGCCATCCGTTCAATGGCTTCAAGAATATCTATATCATGATGTAAAGCATCGATTTTTTCATTTAGATGTTCATTATAAGAAGTTAAAACATTTCTTTCAGAATAAGTGATTTCACATTTTTCTTTAAGAATTATACTTTCATCTTGTGACATTACAAGTTCACGTTCTAATCACTCTATCTTAAGCTTCCTATCCTCGAAACGTAATTTAAGATGACTCAATTCACTTTCCATCTTCTCACTGACTTCTATGGTAGACTCATATTCTTTATAGATGATGTTCATATATGACTGGATCTAAGTTAGATATGGTTTACAAAGAGGTAAGTCAAAATTATTATCAGTAATCATGGATTTTACCTGTTGCACGATGCTTCAACCTGGTGGATCATTGGTAGCCATGTAGCAGTAATTTGGTTCAACGTATTCATCTTCTCCTTCTAATCCGGATGACCAGTAGCCTTCATCACATTGAATTGTTTGTCTAGTCATAAGACACATGTTTCTACCAGTACTCACATCATCTTCATCTCCAGATGATCAATATCCTTCCACATCTCTCGACACAGTGGTAACGAATGCTTTCTCACTAGCAGCCATCTCTTGGGCTTGACGTGCATAGTATTCAGAGTCCTTGATCATGGGTTATTGTGGCACTTCAGCCAAGTAGTATTTGGCTTAGTGATTTCCATGACCATACTTGTGACAAACGATCTTTGGTTTGTCTGACTTCAGATTCCTATGGGATTCCGAGGGATGGTTTGGTGTAGAGATGTTCGGTTTACAAGCAGGTGGATTTTCTGGAAGTTTAGGAAATGGTTGGGGATTACTTTGATGAGGAGCTTGGAAACGGTTGTGATGTGGTTTGTGAGAGGGATTGAAAGGATGCTTATATTTCATGGAATGTAAAGCAAACTCTTGTTGAAAGCGAAGTTCTGAGCTCATTGCTTCAGGGTCGAGGTCTCCATCAAACTGATAGTTTGAACTAGCAGGAGCAGGTAAATTAGGTGGAGAGGGTTGAGCAGGAGGGATAGGTGGTATAATGGCTTTGAAAGGGTCCAAAATAGAAGGGTTCGAGACGTGAGTAGTAAAATAACTAACAAGAGCAAGTGGACCTCCTGAGAGTTCTCTCAATGTTTGAGCAACATTTGATTCATGTCCTTGAAGTTCATCAAACAATTGGTAAAGCTCTAGATTCTTCAGAGATCCATTACTCTGAAGACACGATTTCATATTTCCCCATCCTTTAATAAGACTATTGATGAATTTGAGATTGTATTCCAGAGGAGTTCCAATAATTCCATGAGTTGTCATGTTGTTGACGATGATTCGATATCTGTTGGAGGCCAAGGCAACCGACTCACTGGGAGTTGTAGTGAATGTATCGAACTCCTTTATGACCGAGGTCAACCGCTTATCCTTCATATTTTCTTATCCCTCAAACAAGTCTTGGAGAGTGTCCCAAATCTCTTTAGTAGATTTGCACAACTTAATATGCTCAAAAAGAGGAGGAACACCAAAAACCATCTCTGAAAATGTAAATTGGTGTGCATGCAGTTTCTCTAAGCCGGCAGCAGTGAGAAGTGCCTAATGTTGTTAATCTTGGCCCAAGAGAGTTGCAGCAACATATCTTATGGCTTGTCTAACCAGAACATGTGGACCTTCTTTCAAATATCTCCAAATTTCTTCACATTTTTCCTTACCAAGTAAAAAACCTTCCATTCTGACTTTCCAGTGATCTTACTCTTCAACAACTAGCAATGGGGCACGAGAGAAGAAAACCACGCTATTTGATATTTAAATTGAATATATTTGTTGAGAATTAGGAGCATCCATTGAAGTTAAGATATTAAAGCATTATATAGAAGAACTTTTATCCTAAACATAGAAATTACTAAAATACAAAGGTAAATTCAACTCAACGATAATCTGCTCTTATGGATTCAAAGGACAACTACTCAAGCTTTGATACCAATTGTGAGAACAAGTAATCAATGTGCAAGGACAAGGTTTGAAAACTCAAACCTTGAGTTAATCTTTATGATCAATGTCTGCTCTTAATTAATGGTTCTAGTCGAATCTGGTAAAACTAGTTAGGACCTGCAGAGAAGATTCAACAAAGTACTCAATATTAAATGAAGTAAACTAGGAGTATAATCAATGTAAATACATTTAATGAACAAGAAGAATGTTTGTGAAAAATATTGATTTGAGAGAAAAGTGAAAGTAAACCAAAGAGAATTTTTGCTATCTTTGGAGTAACAATGCTTGGTATTCTTGTCATTCAAATTACTCCTTAAATAGGCTAAGGAGGATCATCATACATACTGGAAAATATTCCTAGGACTGGAGAATAATCATTCACTAACAATCCGATTATCTACAAGATACATAAAGTAAAGTACTATCAAACGTTACATCAATAATAACACAAGAAATATTAAATGCTAGTATAGACTTTGGATTTTAGAACTGCATTCCATCTTGGAATGATCTTAATCTCGTCCTCCATCTCTATCACATACTTCATTAACCTCGGGCTTAGCTGACTTCGGGTGTTCATTACTTGTGATTGCTAGAGGTTCAATTTTTAGGTTCCAATAATTGGCTTCGTGGTTCCTCCCACGACGTGGGTTTTTACACTCAGCAACATAATGACCAAACTCTTGACAATTATGTAAACTTTAGATTTATTACGAGGCTAATACGAGTAATCCTTAGCTTTTTTATGTTGAATACCACCACCTCGGCCTTTATTTGAATTTTCGTAACCAATTCTTCCTTGTCCTCGTCCTTTTCCACCTCGATTATTGTTATAATTGTTTTGAATGATATTCATTAATTTTTCTTATTTTCCCGTTTCGACTACTCTTTATGTGTTAACAAGAGTTTCTTCTCCTCGGGTTCTTTATGAATCCTAATACGAAGAGCTTTTAATCTTTCGATCACGTCTTCAAAAGTCGTCTCGTCGAGATCTCCAAATTGGTCAATTGTTGATGCAAGTTAAACAAATTTGGAAGGTACGACTCGTAACTTATTTTTTACTATCTAGGATTCTTTCACGGTTTCACCAAGAGCGTGAATATTGCTCACAATTCCTCTAATTTTTGTAGAAAAATCGTCCACAATCTCGTAATCACTCATGTTCGTCATCTTGAATTTGGCTTTGAGAGTTTGAACTTCGGCTGTTTTGACTTGATATGCTCCCAAGTATATCGTCTTGAGTGTTTCTCGAGCTTCCTTTTTCGTTTTCTTCTTTGCAATCGTCAATAGAAACTCCTCTAGAACTGCTTGGTAGATGGCAGCCATTGCCATCTTGTCTTTATTCACACACACCAGATTTTGTGGGCTTTTCGGCTTGATAGCTTCCCACACCTCTTGGGCTTGCATATAAATCTTCATCTTTGTAATGCCTGGATTCCAAGGTATATTATTTTAATTATTTATTTTTGAGGTTCATTAATCTACTCGACAAGTTGGTGCTATAACTCGCCGAGTAGATGCGCATGTGACCACGTGGGTTTAATGATCTACTCAACAAGTCTGAGATTAGACTCGTCGAGTAGGCGCTGTGAGTGGAAACGCAAAATCCCCAGGTTTGGGGCCTATTTAAAGGCATTTATAGCCTCATTTGCGGCCACACCTCACTGAGAAGAAACCCTTATCGCCCCTTGAGCTTTAGAGAGAGAATTTTCAGCCATTACTTGAGATCTTTGGTGCCTTTTTGTTAGAGGAAAGGAGGATTCCAAGTAAGGTTTGTGAAGAGGCTGTTAGATCTGCGGCTTAAACATCCAAGATATTTTGTTTAAGGTATAAAGTTCAGACGCTTCTCTTTTGTATGGATAGATCACATGATTTTAGGTTTAGGGCTTCATTTTCCATTTTCTTGTGGGAACCTTGAAGGTTTTGAGCACCTTCTTAGAGATGGACATCAGCTTTGGACCTTGTCAGGTCCCTAATGTCGAAAGTCCCCTGCTTTATTCAGCCATGTTAACCTTTTTAATGAGAAACTTCTTCTCAACCTTGTTCTTGGCATTTCTAGCCCTTTAGTGTCATGCATGAACGTAAAGCTCGAGGCTTTACGTAATATTCAAGCCTGGAGAGCTTAGTGTGAGAGAGTTTTCTACCTTGAAATCATCTGAATACAGATTGAGTCTGAATGGACTCACCGAGTTGATGAGTCGACTCGAAAAGTCGATTAGGGTTTGTCCAGATGAGCTGGATCAAGCGATAGCTCCGCGAGTTAGGGGTTAACTCGATGAGTTGGACCTTCATGAGATTACTGAGAAATGATGGGACTCGACGAGTCGCACGACTGCACTCGGTGAGTCTCGTCGAATTGGGCTGTTTACTAGAGTTGACTTCTGTTGACTTTAAGGTTGGTCAAAATGAGTTATGGAGGTCAGGAAGGGGTAAAATGGTCTTTTACACATTCCTAAGGCTAGAGTGTAAGAGAGGTCAGCGTTTGGTGTATTTGAGTGTGAGGAGAGTATTAATTAGAGATATTATCCTTGTGATAGGCGGAGGCTAGATCAAGGATTATGAGTATGAGACTTTTACTTACTAGCTTACGAGGTGAGTCTTCTCACTATACTTTACCTAGAGTGGTATTTATGTATGACCTGAGGGACATATGTGCTTACTTGAGTTATGCATTTGTCTGTGTGATATATATGCTATTTTCTGTGCAACTAGACCGGACCAGAGGGTCCAACGAGCTATGGCATTGAAGGGTCCCAACAGATCGAACCAAAGGGTCCAAAAAACTGTGGGACTAGGGGGTCCCACTGAGACACACAAACCAGAGGTTCTTATAGAGTTATAACCTCGAGTGGCTAATGTGTTGTATGTGGTATTTTGGAGAACTCGCTAAGCTTCATGCTTATTGTGTTATTGTGTTATGTGTTTCAGGTACTTCCGAGGATCGCGGGAAGGCACCGGCATGATTGTACACACCTGTTCGAGACCTTATTGAGGATTCTAGGATTTGACTTTTAATTGTGGATTTATGTTGACACTTGAGACATTTGTGATTTTATGAAATATAATATATGAGTTTTATGTGTTTTATAAATGAAAATTTTTGTTTGAAACTTTACATTGTTATAAGTTGGTATCAGAGCCTTGGTTTGATGTATTTGGATGCACCTTCGGGTATGTCTAGACTCAAACTGAGGATTTGAGAAAAAAATTCAAGAGAATTTTTCTAAGACGAGTTAGATTTTCTAATAGAAAAACAAGAAGGAGCAGTGTGTGAAATCAACCAGCACCCGAACGGTGATTTTCCCAAAATACCCTTACTTTCCGTGTTATGAGATATTTACGATATTTATGAGATATTATGATATATGTTATGCATTCTAAAGAGTAGGCTAGGTACTTCATATGTTAAAACTAGAGTGGCCTAATTTATGATGCCTTAGTCTAGGAGTTACTGCTACTGTGGTTTGCTTTGAGTGAGAGTAGGTAGCATGGAGGAGCGTATGAGAGGTCTACTAAGAGAGTAGTATGTATCTGATAAGATATAGAGTACTTGCGATATGGGATACTAGGAGGAGAACTTGGGATGAATACATATGCGATGTAGAAGGTAGTATTGGGCCCGTATTACTAGAAGCACCAAATCGGTGAGCAGTCCAAGTAAGAATCCTTAGGATGCTAAGAAAAAAGTAGGGGTGAGCGATCGAGTGTGAGTATACTCGAGCAAGTCCTTGATTATTTTGTGGTGTGTTTCAGAGACATCATGGTGGGTACGTGCCACAACCTTGAGAGCAGCAGGGTTAGCGATGATGAGATTCGTAGGATGATCCACGAGGAGGTGGTCGCAGCTATCCGAGAGGGCATCCCAGAGATGTTTGGGTCTATTAAGACCACCTTGATTGAGACATTTGATGATCGGTGTGCTGTTGGTACCGAGGCGGCTGCTGCTATAGCTGTCACTGCTGCTAGACCACAGGGGGTGACTCGTAGTTGTACTGGGAGTTCAACAACACGAAGCCACCAGAGTTTGATGGGACTCAGGATTCGATTGCCGCGATGAGATGGATCTCTGATATCGAGGGGTGTTTGTACACTTGTTCCTGTCTGGAACATTTGAGGGTACGGTTCGCGCTAAACCAGCTTGTCTTGGGGGCAATGGACTGGTGGAAGTTTGTGACAGCCAGTTTCACTCCTGCAGAGCATACTGCAGTATCATGGGAGTGGTTTACCATGATGTTCCGAGACGAGTATGTTCCCCCAGTGGAGAAGGAATGGTTAGCCTAGGAGGATCTGTCCCTCAACCAGAGGAAAAAGTCAGTGACAGTGATTACAAGGATGTTCCATGATAGGGTGATGTTCTGCCCTGAGCACGTGTCTACCGAGCAGGCACGTATGAGCTGGTATTTGGGTGAACTCGACTTGTCGGTCATTTGTTGAGCTTCAGG